TTCACTAAGGGTTATACATCCTCCTACCGCTGAAATTAACCGCAGAAATCCCACTGACTTCAGTGAGGACAGGCAGTAAATACGGAAATAGTTGGAATGACTCCAGTGCTGCTTGTTTTATCTTACTGTGACTTTCTTACACTGTGGGTCATTCTGAAATGCAGCTATGGGTAAAAAGCCTTTGGTAACAGTACAATGCCACTGTACACAGTTTTACACATCACAAAAGGCAGCATACAGATTCTTTCACAGACTCTAACCTTATGGCCAAGTTTTTCTTAGAATACAGAGAAAACCTGAAGAATTTGGACTTGCAAAGATCTCTACATTTGGTACTATCTATCATACTGATAGCAGCCAGAAACATCTTGGACAACTATGTGTAGGGTCAGAATCAGACCGTGTTGCTGAGTCAGGGAAGCACTTGCTAGCGCATTTAAAGACAAACATATAGCGTATCAAATGCTAACAGATACTTAGCAAAATAATCTTTCAGGCTGGCTTTTTAAGTGAAAAAGTACCCTGATCAGAAAAATCTCTATTCATTAGTTCTGCTATTAAGAAGTTATGTCAGTCTATTCTGCTATCATTTTCCTAGACAAATAAATCTCATTTACATGGAATGATAAGGATATAACTTAGACTGGGGAAAGCATACAAGACATTTCTCCTCATAGAAAAGAGAAGTACCTGTCTTTGTTTAGCGCCAGTCCCTCAGTGCTGCAGGATGTATTCTGTATTTCATGGTTTCTACAGTTCAGATGTCTGCTCCATGCTCTGGGCAATATCCCCTATCTACTTGCTGCAAGGAAAGAAAGCTTCGTCACTTAGGTTTTTGATACCTGAATTTCACTGTTTTCACCCTTCCCTGTAATAATGTGCAGTACAGAAAAATCAAACCTTAAATCATTTGCCCTTAAACCTCTCCAAGGTTTAGAGTATAGAGAGTAAAGAGTACAGCCCAAGCAACCATTCGAATTGGATTCTATAACTATTTCTATGGGATAAAAGTGTGTCTCTTGAGAGACAGCTTGAAGAGGCAGGATATAACTCCTTTTTTAGTCACTTCCAGATTCATTCTAAAGGCAGAATCTGTTATTCAGGAGCATGACACAATGGTTCTAGGCCTGATACTAACACAGTTGAAACTGGAATTGTATGGTTTTTAGAACAGCAGCTACAGCATCTCTTTACACTATTGTCATTGGTCTCAGGTTAACACCTTTCCTCTGGTCTCACCTGAGGCTACTGCTGAGGGGTTTTTTTTTTTTTTTTTTGCATCTGCTAGAAGTAATGTCTCTGGTTGATTGTCACTACTAATTAACTCTGTACTTTGAACCAAAAAAAGCACAAAGAGTACAAGAACAGTCCACAGCTTGTCAATGATTTATCAATACACAATTTTCCTCTATTTATTAGAGAAGTTAGTGGTGCTTGGTTTGAAAATAGTTCTGTTTTAATGTTTCTTGTCAAATTTCATTAAAAAAAGAGATTTATTTCAAGGTCAAAGGCAGAAAACTCCTAGCAAGAACTTATCAACATGAATGTTGTTTCTGAGAACTACATCTTCCAGTTTAATGCTGGAAGTCTGAAACCAAAAAAGTAGCTTTAATATTCTTGACTGTGCTGGAAAACAACAGAAGGAAAATTATGCAGGTATTTAATTCTTCAGAAGAACAACTCAATGGCACTTTCAAATATCCCTAGTAAACAAAAAAAGGAATATCCTAATAAATAATTTTTCTTGGAACAAGTGCCTGGAAACTGTAAAATACTCAGATTCTGTACCACTGGTATAAAGTGCCTACTACCTAGCAGTTGTCCTTCTAGTTGAATCATTAGGCATTTTCTCTAGAGCATTACATTGCCTTCATACTCTCTTTCAGAAAATTTCTAAAGTTCTTTTAGAGGTCACAGTTTTTTGCACCTCTAGAGCTGTCATCACCTGAGCTAATGTATCTCCTAGAAGTAAGGCAAACAAACATAATTTAGCTGTGAAGTAGATTACCTAGTTAAAATATCACTTTATATCATCCTGGATTATTTCATTCTAATTGTAGAGAAGGAACACCTGTACTTCAGATAAAGTGGCATTAATAAATAAATAAATACAAGTAACCCTAGATTCTCACCTGTATCAATATACAGTGACATCAACTTGATTCTGAAATTCAGCTCTTTTAGGCTTTTGTAAACCATCTTTCAGCTGGGATTAGCATCACTTTTGGCGTCGGTATTGAATTTCAAACATTAAAAGAATCCTTCGGAAGTGTTAATAGTGAACCTACTGCAGTTATTAGCTTACTTTTATTTGAGACCATTATTTTACTATAACACTCATTGCACTTACTTCACTGCTGCTGAACACTTAGCCGTATGTAAAAACTGTTCAGAGCCCTATGTCTTCGAAAAGTCAGAACTTATGAGGGAGCCAGATGCGGTTCTTGAGCACCAGGACCTTATATTTTAATACAATGTCTCAATTAGTTGAAGGCTGTTTTGAGTTTGAATCTTATACGCCCACCTTGATCTTGCCATTCCTCTGTATGATTTAAATTTCCTCATTGTCATTAGCTTCTAATAATTAGTTTTGTATGACAAATCAAATATTTAAATAAAGCAAGCAGTTCGACAAGCAGTGTGCAAGAGCAAGAGGGGAATTATGTTCTCAGCGACATCAATGGCACTATCACAGTGGTCTAAAAAAACCTTTCCGGATAGAAACATTTTGGCAGCAAAAAACGTCAAGAACCAGTAAGAAAGCCTTCCGTAAGGTTTCATGTAAACTTGAGATGATCGTTAAAGAGAAAATTCACAATGAAGTCTAAAAATCTATCTACAAGGATGAGAACAATTTCAGAATGATTCTGTACAAAGCACAGTATCTGCACTGCATTCCCTGACCGATTATAATATCATGCCTATCTTAGGTACTAAAGAATATGAACGTACAGTACTGAACAAAGAGGATAAGCAGAAAGAACATTAGAAGACCTGTGAACAGATCTTCTGCTTTTTACATTAATTACATCTTATATGTCTTTATCCTAATCCAGATAAACAGGTGTTATGCAGCAATTGCTATGGTTGATACTTATCTCCCTGTCATTAAACAAATCAGAAGTAAATCTACTGAAGTCCAATAACTTACACCAACGTAAGAAAAAAATGAAACCTAAAGGTATTTATTACTGCTCTGTCCCGCTGTATAATTTGTAACTTTTGCTTCCTTGTTCAGCATACCATGCCATTTCCAATAATTAAAAAAGAAATCTTCACATATTACAAGGACATTACTTCACATACCCTAACAGACTGTTATACAACAAACCCTAATCAAAATATGCATGTGTTTTTAAGTTCTTTTATTGGGTCTTCATCCTAGAATCTTGCCCATGTGACTTACCTTAAAGACAGAAGTTGATTTTTGTCTGAGAAGAACAACCTCAAATCTGTTGGTCTCAATTTTAATTTTCTTTCTGAAATTAATGCTCTTGAAATATACAAAAAAAAAAAAATCCCCTAAGGCATACCTGCAATTGCAATTTCATATTAAGGAAAGAAACTCTGTATATGTGTGTTGTAACATGTACAGGAACCTATCTCCGTACTAGCAAAAAAAATCTATATATCTCCACAGTAGCATATTTCTACAACTTCAAGTAAGTTTATTATTGATTTCATGTAATTTAAAATATTCAAAATAGATTAAGATCTGAGTATACGTAATCTTTCGAGCAATATAGTTAATAAGATTACCTTATTCAGCTTTACCTAGTTTCTGAGTTTTGCTGTCACTGAAGGCATTGGTTTCTGTTCCACCCCTTACAGCACTGTAATTCTGCAAATGGTTAGGAAATGTAAAATGAAGCTTACTGCAGAAAGATCACCCCAAATGATGCCATACTTTCCTCTGTCTTAGTGACAAGTTATCTTTGTCAGAACGACACGTTGTCACCTCAGATGGTTCATCTCCAACTTCCTCTATATACCTCGAACAATCAACAGGCTCAAGGAAATCCAACCAGTTTCTTTTCACAAGGATTTGACTGCTTCCAGTGAGTGACTTTGAAGTCCAGGGGCTAACTGAACATCTTTAGAGTTTAAACAGCTATGTTTTGATGGCAGAGCTGTACTTAACAAAGCACAAGTGGATTTATTAAAAAATTGCTGTTCTTGCCCATATTGTCTTAGGATAGAAATAGAAAGAAAAGTTTAATTAGTAAGGGAAGAAATTTGAGCTAGGTCTCAAATCAAACATTTGATCCATGAAACAGTAACCTAAGTAGTGGTTATTGTCACCTTTTGAATCCTTTATAAGCCAGAGTGGCAAGCCATAGCCAACATTACTATTTTGCCTGGTATCTCCTCAGCTATTCTTCCTTTACCTAGTTGAGAAAACTAAAAAGGTGAGCAGCTGACTAGAGATGAATTAGATGAAATTACTGTGCAGGGCTGTACCAGTAGTAAGTACAATAACCATTGTTCTAAGATTTTAACTGCTGGAATTGCATATGGATGGACCTTATGTAGATAAGTATCAGTTTTCTTCTTATTCTTCAGAGTTGTTGGGGGAGAAAACAAAAGCAAACCTTCTTGACTTTATTTTTTCCACTGCATATCCTGTTATCTTATTGCCAAATGCCATGCATTCCAGTAAGACTAATGATGGGATTAACTGTTGCAGAGAGTCTAAAAATCTGCTCTACTTAAACAGGAAGCAGATAACGGATAAAAAATTGCTCACCAATTCACAACTTCATGTAACGTAATCGACCTCATTAAAAGGTTATTTCAACAGTGCTCTTTTTAAGGAAATAACGTGCTAAGTATTATCATTTGTTTAGAAATAGCAGCAATGTCAGTTTGACTGAATAGATTTGTCTACCTCCAGGAGCCTTGCTAGCCAGTTACTATACTATTCTTTGAAACTTAGAAAAAACAATTTATTGTAAGATGCATTTGCATTCCATGAGTTTGTTTGTCATATCCTATTTTGAACAGATTTAAAATGAGCATCACGGACATTCTAAGCCCTTCTGACATTGCTGCTGCTCTGCGGGACTGCCAAGGTGAGAAAACAATCGCAACTCTACAAATTTGTTATTTTGTAAGACACATGGCAAGTTCAATTCAGTCCCAAAGGAGCACTGAACAGCTGCACATTGGAAACAAATTTGTGTTGTCTCTTTACCTAGTTGTTTCAGTGTATTTCTCATGACTATTTTGTATTGTCAGTGGTTTGAGTTTGCAACTTATAACCATATAATTTTTTTGATGTTTAGGAAGGTGTGGTATAGTATGATAAAATTCATTCCTTGACAGCTTTTACCTGTCTTTCATATTTAGAACAATTGAAATGTGACAAAGCAATATCCTCAGACCGGTCAGGAACAGTGAACACAGTGGTCTGGGGTTAATTTATTTATTAATTTATTTTCAGCTCCAGATTCCTTTAGCCCCAAAAAATTCTTTCAGATCAGTGGAATGTCTAAAAAGAGTAGCAGTCAGCTCAAGGAGATCTTCCGGATTCTCGACAATGATCAAAGTGGCTTTATTGAGGAAGATGAGCTCAAGTAAGGATTTTCTGTGTTGCCTTAACTACTAGTAAAAGACTATCAAAAAATCAACACTTTTATTTTCCAAAATGTATTTTAAAGTAAGCACAGGTTATGCTACACACATGACCAAACCTTCAGCAGACTGTGAATGGTGTAAAATGGTGTATTAAATATAGAAATTATGTAATAATTTATATAAATCAAATTAAATAACTGCCTTTAATGCCCAGTACAGTAAAAACATAATTACGTTTTGGCAGTGGGCAGAATCAAATGCATCAGGCCTGCACTTACAAAGCAGAAATGTACATAAGGAATATTTAGCTTGTCAAATAAGGCAGCATTTGGAGGACTTAGCTACTAGGGTAAATAATTTCTTTACACAGAGCAGTTTGACTATGCAGCCAGCATAAAAGAATATTAGTCTATGAAAATCATAATCAAAGGTGCTTTCTTGTAGATATTTTCTTCAGAGGTTTGAATGTGGAGCCAGAGTGTTGACCAGTTCAGAAACTAAGACCCTCTTGGCAGCTGCAGATCATGATGGGGATGGTAAAATTGGGGCCGAAGGTATTAACTTATTTATAAACACAATAATGCTCCTCAGGATGTCTTGTAAATGATGAGTGATTCTCTCTTCTTTTATGTTGATTGTATACTAATTTAACTCCAGTGAATTTGCTGAAACCCCTGCAGTAGCAACCTGAGTGAGGGCAGAAATGGACCCTGATCTTACAGGTTCATCTCTGCAACTCCTTATGCACAAGCAGGTTAAAAACAAAAACACAGCCAGGCTGTCCTAAGGAACCTTCTCATTGCTGCTCACTCACTCACAGATTTCCTGTTGCTTCAAAACGAACAGCAGCCTGTTTCTCCTTCCACTTACCCTGGTGTAAAGCAGCACTAGCATCACTAGTAATATACAAATGTAAAACCAAGAACAAAAGAACCAGCCCTCTATAGCGGGATCACCACATTGTCACATGCATCGGCTAACTTACAGCATTATCTCCCAACACAAATTCCACTAGTAGCAGTGAAATCATTCCTAAAATGCAAGGCTCAGACACTTATAGTCCAATATATGTTTTGCAAAATATGGAAAAGAAAATGATCAAGCATCACTAGCCTGGGCATGAGATCCCATAAAAGGCTTTGTGCATGTGGCTGGATGCTATTATCTCCAGTGGTGGGTTACAGACCAGATAGGAAGGAGTGGTTGTTTTAGGGTGCACCGTATTGCACCAACTCCATGGTGGCACAAACGCCAATGTGATTTAATGGTTTCTGCTCAGCAGAAACCTCCTGATTTCATAATTCCATACTTCCATGTCCCGTTCTGGGCAGAAAGCACTCATACACATACACAAAAAGGCTTGGAGACAATGGCAACTTCTCTCACGAGAAGCAGGCTGTAGAGAAGAAGAGCATGAAAGGGGCGTAGGAAAGAGCATAAAGGGAACGTGCTGGTGTGCAGATTCCCTAGCTCACTGCGCGACGGGGAGGACTGAACTCTTCTGTTTCTTTTGAGGGTATTAAATTCAGTTCCTTCAGAAATGTGCCAGGATAAACAAACATGATGTACGAAGCAACCTACAGACTAATATATTTCTCCAGGGATGGGACTGAGCAGACACTCTAACTCACACAAACTAAGCAATTAGAAGATCTTCCAAATAACAGTAGCCTAGCGTACAACACAGAGCTTGACTGTCATACCGCTTGAAACTCCTAAACATTTTTAGCTTTTGATAACATTCTAAATCAACATTTCTCAATGGCTGAAGCACTACAAACAGCTAAGACACACACAGTCACTTTTAATTCTTTTACTTAAGTCCTTAGTTTCTTCTTTCTCAAATTCCTTACTAGCCATTCCATTATTTTTGCCCAAGATCACTATTAAGCAGAGAAGGCAAAAACTACCCTGGGCATCTTACTGTTCCTTATAAACGTTAGCAAAACACTACCTTTCCATCTATCGTTTAGAGCAGGAAGTTTGAGCGATGTCTTTCTTTCATATACGTTTCTTCCCCTTTGGTCATCTGTCAGCAAATTTGCTTTTTATTCATTCCTGTTCTAAAGCTCCTGATAAGCCACTAGTCTTTTATGTCCAATCCTCTTAAATTACTATTTCTACTGGAAATATTCTCTTTTGCAGAATTCCAGGAACTCGTGCAGTCTTAGAGGTTCAAAGGGAACAAACAAGATAGAATTGGGATGAATCGGCAAGAGAAACTCCAAAACTTTGAAAATTGGGAGTCTCTTATTTATTTATTTGACAGTGTCTGTTACTTGTTCATTGCTTTAGCAACATATTGAAACACTGCTTAATGATTTTTTCATTGCATGGACCATTTACAATGTTCTAAAATCTACTTCAGGACACACTTCCCTTAAAAATATCCAATAAAAATGAATCATCTGCTGTAGCATGTGTCTGTTTTTCTGACCACTAAGCTGAAATGTGTGCATTCTTAAACTAAAAGTGTTACTCTCTCAAAGATCTTGATCTTACCAGAGCTTCATATATGGCTCATCTTTTGAAATCAGTGGTAGTTCTGTCTACAAAAGGTCTAGCTGGATCAAGCTTGAAGTTCTCAAATACTCAGCCCTTAGTCAAAGTCTAAGTGCTCAGCTATAGCTGGGAAGTAGATGAGGATAAAATTTCACTGACTTTCAAGTGAAAGCAGTCATAGGTTTTGCTTTAGAAATGGTTTCTGCATGAGCCTGTTGCAGTTTCAAACTGATCATTACATTTACCAATTAAGAGAACAAGAAAGTAAAAACCATATGCTCTCCCGCAGAAAGCAAAATTAAAAGGAAAACCTATATGGGCTTGAGGTTTCAGACAACTGTAAGGCTTTAAAAAACAGCGGGGAAGCAAAACACATTCTCCTTGGTGACTGTTTCTAGGTTTCTCAATAGTGAGGACAAAAATGTGGAGGAAGAACTTGCAGAAATGCATGTTGAGAAAGCGCCAGCGTATTCTACTCGGTGTTTATGGGCTGCGTCTGCTACATTTAAAAATGTCCTTCACCAAAAGCACTTATCTCTGGGGGTGGTGAAGAAATGTTTGTTATGAACAAACAAGAACTGAGTCATTAGAAAAGACGTTCTGATACTCTGATGGAGTATTTCTGTATTCACTTCCTTTCGTAGCATTAGTAAGTGCTCTAAACTGCAGTTCATACATACACACAACTTGAACTGTGAGGGTTTGACTTTCTTTTGATACTAAGAGGGCTTTACCTTTAAAATCAGTACAAGACTGGAACCAACTTCTAGCCTCAGTCACAATTTTGGAACTTCACTGGAATCTGATACAAGTCTTCTCAGTAAAAGTTCTATAGTTGCTGCAGTTTCAATCTGTTTCTTCCTTTGCTGCAAATGGTCATGTTTAAAAGAAACTGCATTTTTTATTCTCAGAAGTCTCTGCAAATACCAGTAATAATGGGGAAGAGCACCACAAAAGGGCTGAACTCTTTATGAGATAACCAGCTGCTGCTGGGGGAAAGACTAAAGATCTAAATACACTCCAGAGAGGGACTATGTATCTTGCATAGCAAGAAAGTCACAAAGATAAGAGTTCATAGGGCTAATGCTTCCACAGGCTGGGCCCTTTTCTCTCTTCCAACCTGTATTTTGCAGGAGTAAAATAACAGTAATCGAAAAATTCCTGTTGGCCTCAAATGTGTTCATCACTGAAGCACAAGCATTTAAATAAATTAAATTTCTGCTTTACTCAATGTGAAAAGAAGTTCCTGGAGTGCCATCATCCAAAATAGCCTAGGCAGCAGCACCACTATGAATTCTATAATGATCCATCTTTTCACCTTTTTCCCTTCTCCGCAGCTGTCTCTTTCGGGAAAAGAGTACAGAAGCACCAGCCAAAACCCACCTAATGCCTTTTAAACAAACATACGTAGATTAACTCAAAATTCTTAACAGCTGATGGTTGAAAACAGAATTTTTGTCCCATTTCAAAATGTTTACGGGCAGCTTCATTTAGTTGTTTGTACGCTTGGACATTCAGTACAGATGTGAGCATTTAGTAAGGTCATCACATTTTTTTTCTTATTGTGCAAAAATAATACTCACAAACCGATAAAAAATTAATATTGAACTTGATTAATAAGTTATTTCGCAGCATTAGGAAATATGCTGGCTGGTTTAATGACTTAAACAAGAGCTACTTGGATTTACACAAGCTGAGGATCTGACCCATAGAGATGTTCATAGCGTAAGATGGATGTCACAGGATATTCACAAGAAATAAAGTGTTCTTGGCAATGGAACCAGTCTGATGGCAGAAGAGTCTTGGACTAGTTCACGTGTAAGTAACACAAACAAGCCTGCTCTTCATTTCACCGACAACTAAGTGTTCTGACCTTGACTAGTTATATTACATTAGGCAGCAAATGCATGTAAAATAAAGAATTTTCCAGCTGCTTCTACACTCCCATCTCTATCTCCTCTCAGTATCTCCACCTTTGCACCATGGGCCTAGGCAAAGAAACCTACAAAGTACAAAATTCTGTTATTATCCACTAAGATGCAACACATTTACTAGGGCAGGTCACCGGATAGTAGGTGGACAGAAGAATTGTACAGCGCACAGGTCCACAACAAATTTTAGAGGGAATTGGGACTTTATTTGTTTCCCAAAAAGAATATATCACAGCTATTTGCATCAGAAGTTCCTGTAATACAGCCAAACTACAAGATTTACTTATGTACAGTCAACAGGCAAGGAACAAGGCGACTAGGGAAGAATTTCTTAGCAATCACCCTGACACATAACTTTTTTTAACACATTTGTATGTAATGTCTTTAGAATAATCTTGGTCAACATTACCAACTCAAAATATGCCTCAATTGTTTCTTTATAGCTGATTACTGAATAAATATTACAGTAGGACACTAGAGAGACACTAGACTAAATAAGAAAGGTACGACTCACTTGTTCTAACTGAGATGTTCTATCTGCAACATCCAAAGTACTGCACTTAAAGGAACCTTTCCATGCATTTCCCTTGGGAAAAGAGGACCTCTAAAAAAAAAAAACAAAACTTTATAGTACAGCAGCTGCCACTTTAAGAGATTACTGCTCTGCATAGGAGTTTGCATTTTAAGTAATGGGAAACTCACTGACTTATAGGTTTTCTGAAATGGGTGAAACTTTTGAAGTCAAGTCAATTTACTACTGTCCTGGAATCCTTGAAACTAAATTATACTTTCAAATGCTGATGGTCTTGTCTCTAAAACCTTTGATGGTGCTAACTCAAATTAGATTTGCTCGGGAATAGAGAAACCTCTCTGCACCCATCCCCTAAAACAAAGGGTCATCAGTAAGCCCTATTCAACAGACACTGAGTATGCAGAATTCCCACTATTTCCAAGCAGAGATCTGTACCGAGAAAGCTCCTGGACAGGGCTTTTTTGACTGATGAGGAAGGAAAAACTACCGATATTTACCATATTTGAAGTATACGACATGTCATATCATTTATCTCGTGAAAATGAGTGCCCACTGAAGGTAATGAGCAGCCAGTCTCTACAGTCATTTTATTTTTAATGAATGGGATGAAAATAAAGACTGCATGAATCAAATGCACTCAGTACAAACACTTGATATGAGACACAGCATTCAGAAATCAGCTACTCCGACAATCACGCTTACAAATTGCAGCAGAAGGTGCAACTAGTTCTCAGAAAAGAACTGCCACTTATAAACTGTATTCTGAAATTATTTACTAGACACAACAACTATAAAAATGCATTTTCAGAAAATACAAGAATATTCCAAAAAGAATACAGGTCTCTAGAGTTCCATTTCAAGTTCATATTATTTACCCTATAGTATCCTGTTCCACATTTCTGTGTTAAAATAAACAGTTAAATAAATAGTTAAAAGAAAAAATAGTGGCCCATTCAACCTTCCAGCACAGAAAACAATGCCGTGCCTTCAATATGTCAAAAAATGACATAACTCCTCATGCAACTCTCTCTCCCATTTCTTACTGGGATCAGCAGGGAAATAATTAATATACTGCTGTAGTTCATCTTCAGAGCTGAAATCCTCTAAAATGTTTAACCTCTTTCTCATCCTCTGTCGCTAGCTTTTTTTCATGTGTTTCACAGATTCAGGATAAGAACAATGTCCAGGCACTCTTGTTAAACACACTAGACAAGTCAAAACATTGGAAATTTCACATTTATCTCAAGTTTGGTGTGCAAGTAGTTTTGTATTGCCATTCAGTGACGCTGTACCCTTAATTATAACCAAAACTAGTGTAAAAGTATTGCCTTCTGTTATAAAACCTCTGATTCTGCCAAGCATATACATCTATTATTAAACCATCTCTACTCACCAAGCTCTCAAAATTTGCTCACATTCCTTGACCTCTTACTAAGAGCAAAGCCGGGAGAGATGAACGATACTCACTCTCAGAGGCAGGACCCCTGCAAGTAGATGCGGTGTTATATTTTCACATAGCGCCACAATGGCCTGTTACAATACTAACAAACAATGCAGGCTAGGAATACGCAGGCATTGTGCTTTTTGCTGGATCACAGCACTACTTCGTAATTTATTTGCTAAACTAATCCCAAACTGCTGAGTCCTCACATTCGTTAACACATTTAGACCACATACTGTCAATGAACAGCTATTTGATCTGTCAGCTGTATTTATTTACAGCTGTCAGCTCTAACACTCAGAGTGATTTATAGTATAACTTTTTGTTAAGTCTGCTACTATGCAGCTGATGGAAATGCTCAAAATAGTACCTAGGAACAGGATCAACAAACTAAAAAGTATGACTACACAATAATGAAGACATTACTCTTTCTTAGGCCAACTTATTGTCTTTAATAAACCAAAAAGCACTAATGAAGTTCTTAATTATTTGTCTCTTGATGCAGTGGTTATCCTCTGTCAAATTTCAAATGTAACTTTTAAACGTAGGCAACAGTTTAATTTTATGTAATCATTGGCTGGGAATCACATTTCAAACTCAGGGTGATCTGATGTCACTTTGCAAATGTCAAGGTGTGGTGTTACTGCACACACAATTAAGAAGATGGGATGAAATCGGAACCACAATCGAAGTTTCTTCCTGCCCTGTTAATGCGTGCCTTAGAGAAGTAATAATTTAAATTAATTGAATCTATTATCACATACTCTGTATACAGATTCTCACAAATGCTTCCACCAAAAAAGGTGTCAAGTCACAGATGAGACTGCATGGAGAATTTTATTTTAGCAATCACTATGCACATACTTTCCCTTCCTAGGGAAACTTTGGCATGTAACACCTTCCTTAGCAATCACCAATTACAGTAAGTATCCACTGTCCGTGCCTCCACAATATAACCCTTGCAACAGTATTTTTATTACAGCAGTAAACAGGCATCCAGTCACAGACCAGGATCGCAGTTGTGTTATGTCCTGAACTAACACAGATCTAAAGGATTATCCCCACACAAGCCAAAATCCATGGTCGCTATAGTTTTATTATTTCTTTGGTAAGAAATTAATGAACTTGACTATCAACACCATCAATCCGAAGAATTTCCATGCTTTGTTTTAAATGAGTAGTATAAATAAATTAATTTCCCCTCTGGTCCTGATCATCATTACCTGCAATATAGCAGGCAGGGGGCATGGGGGGAGAGGCTTTCCTTTTTTCCGTTTAATATATTCAATACTGACTGGATGTTCTCAGAAACCGTCTCATCCGTGTCAAAGCCTTCAAACGGACAGACCATAACTGTCAATGGCTTATCTGAGCACACTGCTGAATTCTCACAGCCAGTGGACAGGAAGCTGGAATTAACTAATTTTGGATGCCTCATCCGGACACGCATGGCCTGACCCTTACTGAGCCTGGGCTTAGGGCAGCCCTGTGGACACCAGGGCCTTCCCCACCCCGCTTCCTTGCGCTTGCACAGAGGCAGGTCATCTCCAGCCCTGACCTCTCTGCAACACCTACAGTAAAGTAGAAATCACACTCTTCCTGCAGCTTTGGAAACATTTCCCACAGCCATTTAAGACCCGACCTGGAAGTCTTGGGTCTGCTGTTACAGTTCAGCGTGTTGTGTCCCCACTGCCTGCCCTCTCCTTCCCACAGCCCTCAACACCACGCGAGGAGCTTCTCAGGCCTTGAGAGGTACGGGTTAAACACCACAAGCACGGGCATGAAAGGTGACGCGCGAGCCGGCACTGAGATCTGCACTCGTGGAGAGGGCGTCTGCACGCACACACGTTCATAGGCGTTCACTTATTCGGTCTCCACCTGGAGCCAGCCTCAGCAGGCCTGCGCATGCAGCCCTCCTTGCTTGCCACACCACACCTCACATCCAGCTCACGCCTCCATTTTGTGCCTCTTTCCTCACAGCAAGCAGCCTCTCCATTTTGCACCTCTTTATCCCTCACAGCAGGCAGACCCCCTCCATTTTGCGCCTCTTTTTCCTCACAGCAGGCAGACCCCCTCCATTTTGCGCCTCTTTTTCCTCACAGCAGGCAGACCCCCTCCATTTTGCGCCTCTTTTTCCTCACAGCAGGCAGCAGTCGCTGATGGCCCTGATGAGGAGCAGGGATCTGTGGGATCAGGGAGGGCCAGCTCCTGCCTTGGGGCCTGTCAGACCCTCGGAAGAGGGGTGAGGAGGGTGAGGCCAGGCCCCTTCCCAGGTTAGCGCAGCCCCTGGCTCAGGCCGAGCGGTTAAACAAGGGTTTTTCAGCCGTGGCACCGCAGCAGGGCATGAGAGAGACCTGCGCATTGACCCTACCACCCAGGGGAATAGCGCTCATCTCCCTCTTGCTTACGCCACTCACTTTTTGGGTATGGACTGATTAAATATTAAATTACTGCAGTTTTACAGCATATTTATTCCACACAGGCTGCTCCACAGCACTGAGCTGGCTTGTTAGGTAAGCCGTCAGCTGCTGAGGCTGTGATCAGCGCTATCCAGAATTACACCGCTGGCATCGGCAGTAAGTACAACCAAGCAGTGCAGTGACAGTACTCTGAAATAATACCAAACGGTAATAATGGAAAACTCAAGAAAATATCTTTTTCTTTCAGATTTCATCTGGCACAACTTTAAGGAAGCTTGCCAGTATCTTTTTCTAAATGACCAGGTGGACTGAAACGTTGATTACATCTTTACAGTATCTAGCTGCTTATTTAAGCAATTATATAACTTAAGCTTATTCAAATTCCTAAGCTTCATATTCTTATAAGAAAGGGAAGTGATACATCTCTTATTACATACCTGTTTTTACTTACAAGGTAGTTCAGACTGAATTTTGGTGAAAACTGGAATTAAAAAGTAACCAAAAAGCTTTTCAAGTTATGTTGCTAGTTGAATATCACTAACTTAAGTGTGCCAGACAAAGAAGAAAAATAATCAGAATACACTGAATGTATTTATTTATGGAGAAAGGATTACCTGCACTAAGTGATGCAGGGTGACATTCCCTTCAAGATTTTCAAACTTGTAGGTCCCATCCTTCAAATCTTGGATTTTACCCATAGAAATAAAGCATTTCTACTGTTTCGACTCCCAGGTAGTTTGGAAAGGATCAGCAGGGGAACTGAGCAGCACTGTGCGCCCTGTTTCAGAAAAGGGGTGTTTTGGTCAAGCGGCGGCTGAGCGCGGCGGCACCCACCTGCCCCCCCCTTCCGAGGGGCGGCCGCAGAGGGGCTGTGCCGGGAGGCTGCG